GTTTTTTCTGTGTGCGCTGTGTGTGTGTGTGTGTGTGTGTGTGTGTGTGTGTGTGTGTGTGTGTGGTGCGCTCGCGGTGTGTGCTTGCAAACTATTATGAGAGGCGTAACTTCTATAACCTGCTGTGTCCTGTAGATACGATACCTATTGATAACGTTACACCAGCCTTAGCTCCAGCTCTGGACAATATGGACATCCCAATAATCCCTTCTCCAGATGAAAGTCTCCACTGCAACACACTCCCAGTAAAACTACCTTAGTATGTTTTCAGATTTCCCAATGAACTGTTGAAGTTCGCTCAGGGATCCTCATAGAAATATGTCTTTGTTTTTGTTTCCCCTGGGGGGAGACTATGACGGGAAATAAATGACAGTCGGAAGCTGTCATTTCCTCCTCCAACTAAGCATGCAACAAGCTTCTCCCTCGTTAGCTGTGGATGAGAAACAGATGGCCGGCGATTTGGCTCAACGAGGGTCGGATCCCGCAACACTGTTCCTTCATCCATGTTCACAACTGCCTGACATGTTAAATCTTCCCAGTTAAAACAAAGGGTTCAGACAAAGATGAGACTCCTGAGCCGGCTCAGCAAACGCACTTTCGGATTGGTTGAGATACCGCCCAATAGGAACGAAGAACCGGTGTCTCCTACTGACAACGTTTTATGTTTGTCCAATCAAATGATACTGCTTTGGAGCCTTCGTTTAAATATAAAGATGACAAATAACCCTGCCTTCACCGTCTCCCCGTTTGTCTTGGTGCAGCCACTGCAGCAGGATGCCGGAGCCTTCTCGCTCCACTCCAGCCCCCAAGAAGGGTTCCAAGAAAGCCATTACCAAGGCGCAGAAGAAAGACGGCAAAAAACGCAAACGGGGCCGCAAGGAGAGCTACTCCATCTATGTGTACAAGGTGCTGAAGCAGGTGCATCCAGACACCGGCATCTCGTCCAAGGCCATGGGCATCATGAACTCCTTCGTCAACGACATTTTCGAGCGCATCGCCAGCGAAGCCTCCCGCCTGGCGCATTACAACAAGCGCTCGACCATCACGTCCCGAGAGGTGCAGACGGCCGTGCGTCTGCTGCTGCCCGGGGAGCTGGCCAAGCATGCCGTGTCCGAGGGCACTAAGGCTGTCACCAAGTACACCAGCTCCAAGTGAGGCGCGGCGCGGGCGCCCCCAACCCAAAGGCTCTTTTCAGAGCCACCTTCCAATCTCAAGAAAGGAGCGTGCTACCTGGTGTGATTAAGATCTGTCATTCACTGGACGTGCATTGGGGATGGGGGGTGTGCTGGACATTGGGACCCTGAGGTAATACACTCCTTGTTATAATGATAATTAACAATCAATTTTGGCCACAGAACGTATTTTAGTGGATGGCTTCTGGGGACATTTGACGTTAGGGGACAGGGGCGCTTCAACAGCAGGCTCTCTCCTCATCTTCCCACCCTCTTTCCCCCATCCTCCTTCCCCCGTGTCCTTCGGAGTGCTGTATTGAGGCTCAGGTTGTTGTGCTCTTGTGGCTGATGCTCTCGGAGGAGCCCTCTTCCTCTGTTGCTTTGCTCCCTTCCTCCCCTTGCCAGGATTAGACACTTTGAGATCTTCCAGCCAAAAACAGTTTAAGCAGGTCTTGTGTAGTATTGACTCGAAACGCCTAAAACTGCAATGCACGGCCCCTGCTCTCCAACCTTACCACTAAGCCAAAATATTGACAGTGGAAATTCTGGCATTTTATCCATGCATTTAAACGATAAATGTCCTTTTGTTTCATCTCAATGTATACGTGTGTGTACACATGAGTATATATAAAAAATGTGTGTATACATTAACAGAACTCTAGTAAATGGTGAAACATCCTTTTAAATAAAGCAAATTAATACCTTTAAAACGACAGCAAAAAAAAAAAAAAAAAGCTACACACGCTGTAGTCAGTTTATGTTCTCATTAATGACTAAGTGCAAGAACAGACCAAACTACCCTCCCCCTGAAATTCCAAAGAGTGGTTCAATGTATGTCGGGGAAGCCCACCTTCCACGAGCTCCTAGTTGTCTCTGGTTCCGATTACATGTTGGTTTCACGGGTGGACAATGGCGGACTTTCTCCTCACACCACCTCCAATGACAGCCACTCATTTGTCAACATTTAACCTCTTACTGTCTCATACAGGAAAGGCAAGTCTTTCTGTTGGTAATTTGTTCTTAAAAAGACAGCTTTATCCCTCACTCAAAATTCTTAGTTGGTTCCCTAATAATTAGCAAATTTGTCTTGAACATCTAGTTGAGACCGGAGAATAACAGTCTTGTCCATACTTCAAACTGCATGCCTGCAAACCCCTCATTTCCCCCCTCCAATCTTACTAACTTTAAATTTTTCAAATCCAGAGAACACACCATTTGCATTGTCCTAGTTCTTACTGTTATAAATTCTCACATATTTGTTGTACACTTGCCACACTTTCTAATTTTTCAATTTCGCCCGACTATTCCCTTTACTGTTATAACATGGAACCAGAGACACTGATCTTGTGTACAGTTAGTTGCTCTCAATTTTCTGTATCCCAAAATCACAACAGCACAGTTTTCTACCTTCTTTGTCTCCTCCTTAATATTCACACTTCACAAGAGGAGAAATCTTCCCCATCCTGAGCTGTGGCTGCCAAAGAAACAAACCTGGGCAGCTTATTCTGAACTTCTAGCTTTGTCAGGAAAAAAAAAAAAAAAAAAAAAAGAGAAAAACCTGAAAAAAAAAAAAAAACCATTGTATTATCAACAACTATAATGTATTGCTACAGAATTATGATTGGAAATTGTGATTGTGTGCTAGATTTGCTCACTGATTCTATGTTTTGTACTAAATAATGTTTATGCGCATCTGCAAGGCTCATTTTCTTCTGTAGGTTTATTGAAACCATTTGTTATACTGTGCCTAGATGAAGCAACTGCAGATGCTCCATTGAAACTGGATGCTTGGGGCTGGAGAAATGGCCCAAGGTTAAGAATACTCTTGCAGAGGACCTAAGTTCAATTCCTAGCACCCACAATAACTGGGTCATTAATGACTCACAACCATCAATAATGTTACTTCCAAGGGATCTGACCCCTCTTCTGATTTCTGCAGGCATGTGTATACATCAATGCAGGAAAAACACTCATAGCTAAAATTTAAAAATGGGTAGTTGACCCCAGAGCCTGGCCATGCAGCTCTGTATTAGAGTACTTCCCCAGTATAGCAAAAGCATCAGAGGCCTTGACATTCACTTGGCACCAGTTCATAGAGGATTGTATTCAACCTTTTTGAATGTAAATCCTGTTGGTGTTTTGTTTGGTGACAGGCTCTCACTGTGTAGCTCTGGATAGCCTGGAACCTGGTATGCAAACCACACTACTATAGAGCACACAAAGATCCACCTGCCTCTGCTCCTTCCAATTGCTGCTATTATAGGTCTATGCCACCATGTCTGGCTTTCCAATCTTCTGTTTTTTGAGACAATTAAGCATACTGGCATGAGTTCACGGTGGCACATGCCTTTAATTGCAGCACTTAGGAGGCAGAGGCAGGCAGATCTCTGAGTTCCAGGCCAGCCTGGTCTATATAGTGAGTTCTAGACCAGCAAGGCCTACATGATGACACTGACACGTGTGTGTGTGTGTGTGTGTGTGTGTGTGTGTGTGTGTGTGTGTGTGTGTGTGTGTGCGTGTGTGTGTGTGTGGCGCGGGGGGGGGTCTAGGTGTTACCTTTGATGATGGATCATGGTTTATATCTTCAATTATAACTAAGGAGGCAATGTATTGGGTAGAGTGGTTATGACAAGGCTTCCAATACTATTCACTTATTTCTATCTTTTTAAAAAAGATGTCAAATGAAGGTAATGCTATATACCACACACTGACTGCTTGTGTCCATGAATAGATTTAAATAAACCCAGGAAGGGGCAAAGAAGAGGACTGGGTGGCATTGCAGTAGTAGAGCCTTGGCTAACACACAAGAGATGCAGAGTTCATTCTCCCACCCAACCCCTCCTCCCATCAAACCTCAGTTCAGTTTCACTAACATACCAAAACTTAATGATTTGTGTCTTAAATCATTGTCTACTGTCCTAGTGTCCCTTTTTAAACACTGGGATAATTTGGTTGGCCTGCTTAAACTTCAATAGACAATTCTGGATAATGGTAATTGGTAAATGTAACACACATATAATTGCTGTTGGCAGAATTTGAGGCAGAAGGAAAATAGAAACAAATTCTCAGAGGAAAATAACCCAAAATATCTGTTAAAGCATTTGGTTTCCTTTGACCTGACTCTGGTGTTGACTTTCCAATAGATATTTTTAAAACAAAACAAAACAAAAAAGTCCTACATTGCCATTTGCATTTTGCAGCTACCTGACTTATGATAAAAAAAATACTTCAGATGCTAACTTTGAAATGTATGAAGTGGTTAAAAATCCTTTTATGTGGAAAGGGAACGGTGGCACAGCTGTTGTAGGTGTGAGGCCAAGGTAGAGTTTTGGAAGTTCCAGAGGAGACATTTCCTCCCTGTGAACTGCCTGCTAGCATCAGTCCAGATGAGACAGGCTCCCTTTGACTAGTTGAAAGTATAAATTAAAATTTACATATTATTCTTTGCTGGACACAATGATACGACTCTCAATATATCTCCTAACAGTTCAAATAATTATCACGAGTCTTCTTTCCATGAATAAAAGCTAAACCAAGAAAAGTGGTGTTCTTCCCAGAGTTAAGATTTCTTGCCCAAACGTTCCAGAACAAAATGGCATTCTCCAAATAAATGGTGAATGTAGAAAATTCTGTTACCAACGCTTCACGGAAAATAAAGCAGCTTTAGAGGAGCAACTCGTTTGCCCAAAACGAGATTCTTACCCAAATCCTTCCATCCCCCCCCAACCACTAAACCTGCTGCCAGCTGCAGCTGGCTACATCCAGTTCCTGCACACAGGCATTCATTGCGGGTGTCGCCGCACCTTTTCAACTCGGGTCCCAGCTGTTGGGGTGATATAATGCCAGAATGGACATATCCAGGGGACAAAGAGGCCTGTCTATTCCAGGAAAGGCTCTAAAGGAACAGACTTAGAGGCCACCCAAGGGGCGCCTCACCCAGAATTCCCCCTTGTGACCTCACCCACCTGGGTAAGACTTGAGGCTTGCAAGGGGAACTCAACGCTCCTTGCCTACTCCCGTGGCCATCTTTCACATCCCACCCTTAGGAAAACCAGAGCAGCTGCAGCCCTATATTCCTCACTCAAAGCACATCTTTCTTGGCCGTACCCAGTAACAGAAAATCCCCTCAGGCGCGTGGCAATCATCAATGACACCACACACTGTG